AGTCAGTACTCAGTTACTAACCAGGAACCTGCGATAGTCAGTACTCAGTTACTAACCAGGAACCTGCGATAGTCAGAACTCAGTTACTAACCAGGAACCTGCGATAGTCAGTACTCAGTTACTAACCAGGAACCTGCGATAGTCAGAACTCAGTTACTAACTAGGAACCTGCGATTGTAAGAACTCAGTTACTAACTAGGAACATGCAATTTTAAGAACTCAGTTACTAACCAGGAACCTGCGATAGTCCGAACTCAGTTACTAACTAGGAACCTGCAATTGTAAGAACTCAGTTACTAACTAGGAACATGCAATTTTAAGAACTCAGTTACTAACCAGGAACCTGCGATTGTAAGAACTCAGTTACTAACTAGGAACCTGCAATTGTAAGAACTCAGTTACTAACTAGGAACATGCAATTTTAAGAACTCAGTTACTAACCAGGAACCTGCGATTGTAAGACCTCAGTTACTAACTAGGAACCTGCAATTGTAAGAACTCAGTTACTAATCAGGAACATGCAATTTTAAGAACTCAGTTCCTAACCAGGAACCTGCGATTGTAAGAACTCAGTTACTAACTAAGAACTTGCGATTGTAAGAACTCAGTTACTAATCAGGAACCTGCGATAGTCAGAACTCAGTTGCTAACTAGGAACCTGCAATTGTAAGAACTCAGTTACTAACTAGGAACCTGCAATTGTAAGAACTCAGTTACTAACCAGGAACCTGCGATAGTCAGAACTCAGTTACTAACCAGGAACCTGCGATTGTAAGAACTCAGTTACTAACCAGGAACCTGCGATTGTCAGTACTCAGTTACTAACCAGGAACCTGCGATAGTCAGAGCTCAGTTACTAACTAGGAACCTGCAATTGTAAGAATTCAGTTACTAACCAGGAACTTGCGATAGTCAGAACTCAGTTACTAACTAGGAACCTGCAATGGTAAGAACTCAGTTACCTACCAGTAACTTGCGATTGTAAGAACTCAGTTACAAGAGTTGAATTGTAAAACCTAAAGAACTGTAATGATCATAACTGAATTAAAACAACAACATCATTAAGCCGTAAATATGACAATGGGATCTTAATTAGCATAAAGCTGTAATGAGTGGTGTTGAATGTGAAAACAATATAAACCTTAAAGATGCATAGTTGAATTAAAGAGATAAATCGCAAAGATGAGATTTGAAACATAAAACCATCGCAAAGATTAAAGTTTAATTAGAAAGCTATGAGCTGTAAATCTTAGAACTGAATTTCAAAAACGTAACCCTGTAAAGAACAGGTAT